CGTCTGATTCTGGTTGCATTACAACTGACACATTCTCTAACAACTGATCATTTAATGTATTGTTTATATTAAACTGTCATTTTTAGGAAAAGTATTATAATTAGTAAAGGTCACTATATACAGATTTACTTAATTATAATTAACCACGAACAAACTAAATGTACCTGGAATACTATGTTTTCATTGAACACGTGTTTTACGCAACTAACAACATATTCTGTCTCACTTTCTGTAAGGTCAACTGGTTTGGTACTACTTTTGAACAAAGTTCCAAATGCTGCAATTTCGGGAATTTTCTCCAATTGTTGAGCATAGATTTGCTGCTGGTCTATTCCAGGGGTGGGTGTTGCATCCCTACTTGTTGTAGAAGTAGTAGCCGGAATGACTCCAATAACAGCTGGAGAAGAAACTCCAATGGTCTGTGTAGTCAGGTCAAAGCTTCGAGGTCGTGAATTCTCAGCTTCAGCTTGAGATTTCGTTATCTTTGGAACAGCGGATAGATCGAATGGGTTTTCCGCAGACTCGGGATTACTTACGTATTGCACCAGTTGTCTTTCAAGAGCAGCAAGTGAATACGTAGAGTCTATACAATAATACGTTTTAATAACATTAATCTTTAAAATTCAATCATGATTGAAATTCTACAAACCATCTTTAAGATATTTTTCGGCGTTATCATCATCATCTAAAAGTTTCAAATATAAAGTTGCTCTATCTCGAACTTCGTCATCATTATCGTCCAAACATCTAAATAATTACCAATTATATATCAAATATACGATAACAATAACTAGAAAAAGTTTCATAAACCAAAATTACCTAGTGAGAAGAACTTTTATACTCTTTTTGACCTCGGGGTCATCTACATTGACACCAAATTTAGCAAGAGCACTCACTGCCGCAGCTCTAACAATAGAGTTTTCCAAGATAACACGATTATAAATGTAGCGGATATATTTTGTAGGAGTAGCAGTCTTTGGTCCTTCAACTCCAAGAAGGTGTAAAACGCGTACAGAAAGCTTTGTGAATTCACAATCTTCTATGAATTCGCATAAGTGAGCCAAAGCTAAAAAAAATATACATATTTTTAGATTTTCATATCTGAATTTGTAAATTTGTAATAATGAACCCAAGACTTAAAATACACGATATCTTACCAGCTTCCTTAGATTCAGGTATGAACTTGACCAAGTCAAATATTGCCTCAACTACTGCACGTTTAAATTCATATCCTCCTTCGTCTCTCAATACCCCACTTAAAAAGCTAAGCATTACGGCTTGTTTCGTGGGGAATTTTAGGCATAAAGAACGGATCGCATCAACAACAATGACTTTGAATTCATCAGAAATTTCCGACATGAACCCAGTAATTTGTTTCATTAAACGATCGACGCTAGCTTCATTACCAGTCTAAAATTGATCAATATTATATTATTACATTTTAATTAAATAAATATTATTATTCAAATAGAATTCAGTCTCACTTTTAATAATGTGGTTATGGCGAACGTGGCAACACTTCTATTTTGATCTGTTATTAGATTTTCCATATCTAAATTACAAGGTTGGACTGCTGTAGGATGGGTCATAGCCAATTTATTAAGGGTACGAATAGCTGCAAATCGTAATGTAAATCTAGGTGATGAGAGGAATAGTTGGAGCACTAAATGTTCATGTAAATTATCAGTTTTGATCAAAATTCGCAATATTGCAAAAGATTTTATCAAATATACAAAAATGTACAATATGTTACCATTGATAGCCGGATATAATTCTTTGCTTGTCACATCCTTAATGTTACATATTGCTTTTGCCGCTTCGAAATTGACAATATCACTTTTATGTCTCAACCATCCTTCCAAAAGATCATACATTGGTTGCCTTGAACTATTTGTAAATTGAAGTTGGTGAATGAAAAGAGACAAAATTTGCCAACAATCAAATTAATTCTATATTTCGACTCACTTAGGATCTTCATCTAAAATCTTTGCTGCAAACCGAATTAATAAACAATATGCAAAAGTATTACGTAAAACCCCACTAGAGGAACCAAAGCCACCCCTATTACTTCCAGCTAACTGTTGTATCAACTTTGTTACAGCCATACGATCATGTTGACGAATTAAATATAAAAGACCTAATGCGTGATATTGATTAATATTACTGGTGGAAGGGGGTGTACTATATGAAGAACTACTTGTCGAGAAAGACGTTAAATATGAAGAGGCAGTCCCAACAAGCGAAGAAGGCTTAGAATTAATAGCTTCGTGAACTTCGTTGGCCCATCTTTTAATTACATCTTTTCCGGCGGGAAACAAATGATAACTAGACACGATAGCGGCAGAAGAAATAGATGGAGTTTTGTCGACAATGGCCGCTTTGAGAAAACGTTCGACACTTGGAAGCATTGATGCCTAAAAAGGATTTACGTTTAAATAAGTAAATATAACTAACAACAATTAAAAATATATATAAAATAAAAATAGTTACATCAGTGATTTTACATAGGGCTCTAATAGCATTTGCACGATAAATAACATCGGATTTCGGTTGCATGTCTTTCATAAGGCTACTAGTAACCATAATTACATCCTCAGCGATGGTTGAAAGTTCTTTTATCACTAAATAAACCATTTGTCGCAAGGCGATCTATGTATATTCATATGCAAGAATGGAAGCGACCAAGGAATGTCCATATAGAATACCATTGATGAATGGAATTGAAGAACTTACAAAGCTTTTTGCGGTTTGGAACTCAAATTTGGTCCGTATAATGAAATAACCTTACATCTTTAGACTGAAAAAGTTTAGTTACGCTAAAGAACAATTCAGTTGCTTCAGTTGTCGCCATTGGTTCACCGAGGTACAATAGATAAATGATCTTTGTTAGTAGTAAACGACATTTTCTTGGAACTATCGGTGTTTCATTAAAGACGCGGGCTTCTTGAAGGACGGTAGTTTTATCCAGGTGATAAAAAATGCCCAGGTCTCCTATAAAAACGGTGGAATAATTTAGTTTAATCTCATCAAAGATACGAGATATAAGATGTCTATATTTTACTCTTTCCCGAAAAATTTTCATCTATTTTTGTCCTTAAGTTTTCCTAATTTACTTTCGAGAATGATTGTTCTTTTTTTTAATAATCGTTACCTGAATCCTCGTCTTTCTTTGACAAATTCATGACTTTTTTTGTTGGATTTGCTTATACTTAAGGCAAGTTCGGTGAATCACTACCTACAGTTATAACGATAATGCTGGCCAAATGAGATTAGTCCTGTAGTCGCACAGGCAATGTCACGTGCCAGAATCAGAATATATATAATTCATGAAACCAAATGTTCGCACACTCGGAGTTGCTAAACGCTACTTCTATTATAATTTTAAAGAATTCTTTATAATAACACATAATCATGTCGGATGACGATTTTATGCTCGAGGACGATGAAGAGGAAGACTACAATTTCGATTATGAAGATGACGATCCAGAAGAACCTGACGTTAATTTAGAAAACAAATATTATAGTGCAAAAGGTTGTCACATGCATTAGGCAATAGTTATATATCCCTTTGATTGAATAATTTTGAATTTATTATATTCAGTTTCTAGCATTGTATTTAATATATTTCATTTTATCGTTTGATCCAGCTCGGAAAGAGGAAGATCCTACCGGTGCTATTAAAGAGTTTCAGAGTGTGGTGGATACAGAGCAGGAGAAAGGCGATTGGTAATCCGATTTCGATGATCATTTCATAATAACATTGGAAATTATAGGCTCTTATCAACATTTTTATAAATGCAGGGGTTTCAAGGCACTCAAACAGATGGCGAAATTATCTTTTAAAGCTGGAGATCACGAATCAGTAGGTTTTTACAATTGATTCTTTTTTTTTTTTTTTGATATATGATTGAAAAATGTTTACGAAATAATTATATCATCATAGACGCTCAAATATTATAAGCAACTTCTTTCCTATACGAAATCAGCGGTGACGCGAAATTACAGTGAAAAAAGTATAAACAATATACTGGATTTCATTTCTTCTTCCCAAGATATGAGTTTCATGGAAGAATTTTATTCAACAACCCTTAATGCATTGGAAGAAGCCAAGAATGAGGTTAGAGAATTTTTCTAAATAATATTTTTATTAGTATATAAATGTATAACATTTCTACCTTTTTAGAGGTTATGGGTCAAAACCAATCTCAAATTGGCAAAACTTTGGCTTGATAGGAAGGAATATAATAGGCTGAATAAGGTTAATATATAATTACAATCATTTAACTAGTTTTTAACTAGTTGTTACTTATCATTTTGTTTGATTTTATTTTATTTTATTTTTTATACAGATCTTGCGTCAACTCCATTTATCATGTCAAAAAGATGATGGAACTGATGATCAGCGTAAAGGAACACATTTACTGGAAATCTTTGCTCTTGAGATTCAAATGTATACCGAAACAAAAAATAACAAAAAATTGAAGGTTAATCTCAAACTAAGGCAAAATATTATTTTAATTTTTCAAATGTTAACATTCTTAATCTCTTAAAAGGCTCTGTATCAACAATGTCTTCATGTCAAATCTGCAATTCCGCATCCACGTATAATGGGCGTTATTCGGGAATGTGGTGGCAAGATGCACATGGGCGAGAGTAAGTATTTATTTAAAAGATAAAATATTTTGTATTTGGTTTATGGATAACAAACTTTTTAACATTTATTTCAGAGGAATGGGACAAAGCACAAACTGATTTCTTTGAATCATTTAAAAATTATGATGAAGCTGGTAGCCCTCAGCGTATACAAGTTCTTAAGTAAGCTAATACATGTTTGCACCAAAGCGTTACTTTGTTTTACTCTTATTGATAGCCACAGTTAATTTTTAGATACCTTGTTCTGGCAAATATGTTGACAGAGTCACAAATTAATCCTTTTGATTCTCAAGAAACAAAACCGTATATAATTTACTTCTTGTATTTGATTACATAATTCTAATAATAGTCCAGTAATATAATGTTTTTTGCATTCTTTATTTTAGATACAAAAATGATCCTCAAATTGTTGCAATGACTAATCTGGTCAGCGCATATCAACGCAAAGAAATTCGAGAATTCGAGAAAATTCTGAGAGGTACTATTATAATTTCAAATGGGACAAACCTGAGTTATCGATTTTCGAATTTGTTTTACATTATTTTTTTCGTTTACAATTAGACAATCGAGCAACTATTATGGACGATCCTTTCATTCGTACATATATTGACGATGTTCTCAAGAATATTAGGACGCAAGTACTGCTTCGTCTTATTAAGCCATACACACGAATAGAGATACCGTTTGTGTCAAAAGTAAGAATATTCAATTTATTTTGTAAATTTATTAACATATAATGGTAATTAATATTTTTTATTATTATTCATGTTAGCAACTTAATATCCCTGCACAAGATGTTGAAGATTTACTGGTTGGTCTCGTTCTTGATCAAAAGATTAAAGGGTGTATTGATCAAGTGAACCAACGGTTAGAGTTATATAGGCAGTACGTATTGACTTAATTACAGTATATGTTATTATTTGTTATTAGGGGGTGAAATATATATTAATTGTTTTTTTTTCCAGGTCATCTGACACAGAACGTTATAATTCTCTTGACAAGTGGTCGACTAATGTATCGACGTTGTATAAAACGTGTATTAATAGGGTCACATAAATTTAGAACTTTAGTCAATTGGAGTTAAGGATGTGTGTACGATCATGTCGTGTATACCTGATGTTTACTATGAGAGCATTGTTTACAAATTATTGAAAAAAGTCTAAACTGAACTAATAAAGGAGATTAGTAATGCTTTGAACCAGTCAAAAAGCTATTTATTAAGTATTTTTAAAATTAATAAATTATCAACCCTGTCTAATAACATAATCACTTCTTCCCCTTTTTCCCACTAACATTTAATGCATGCCCAGTTTCCTTAATGTGGGTAAATAACTGATTTCTTGACGTAAAAGTCTGTGAACAAACATTACACTTTTGCTATAGATGATAATAGATGTATAGTTAATAAAGAAAACTTATAAAGTAATATCAATTATATATGTTTTTACCTGTTTAGAATCTTTAGAATTTTTCTTATCCTTTTTCTTTTCTTTTTTAGAACCATTTTCTTGTTGAATTTTAGTAGCATTTTCTTGTTGAATTGAATTATCATCAACATTTAAGGGAGGTTGAGTTTTATTAGAATCTTCCTCAGATTCGAAACCACCTCTAGAAGAAACTTTTATTTTGTTTAATTGTTCAGATAATTCATCGTCATCATTAGGTGAATCAGATTTTATCTTATCCCGAACAATTTCATCACCAGAGATTTCCTCAGCATCCTCATGTCCCCAATTTGGAGTCTGTTTCTTCTTCTTTAATTTTTTTTTCTTTTTAGAACTCTTTGTAAACGAATTATCCTCAATGTCTCTTGTATTTTCATTTACCAATTCATCTATGTCATGATTATTTGTCTCATTTTGGTCATCCGAAATTATTAAATCTTCATTATCTTCAAAATCTTCAGCCATTTCTTTTTTCAATAATTTTACATTGGTTTTATGAGTTTTGCTTTTTTCGTGATTTATCCATTGCTGCTCACTTTTAAAACTTTTATTGCATGCAACACAGAAGAATTCATCTTCCGGCTCATCATCATCATCATCATTGTCATCCTCTTCTTCATAATCATTCACAACTTTTGTCCACTCTTGTTCCTGATATTCTTGTAATTTAGAAATACGTTCAGCACGATCACGGGCAGCACGTTTTTTTGCTTCAGCAACTTGAGCTTTATTTCTTTGATCAACAGCCATCTTATAAGCTTTATAACGTGGATCACGTTTTTGCACGAATTCAACTAGTAACTGAATATATTATAAAAATGAGTAATAAAACTTTTAAATGTTTTAAATGTTAAATAGCTTAAATGGAATAATTGAGAACCTTACTTTAACAGTTTCATTGTACTCTTTACGAGCTAATTTACGAGACTTTTCATTTTCTACTTCCATCTTTTTCCTTGCCCACCTATCAGGTGCCTACTTTGATTAATTATATATAGATATATATATATAAATATAATATAATTTTCAAAATTTATTAATCATTATATTTTACCTCAGATAAACGATGTTTATCAAACCAAGCAAACTTTTTTCGTGTAGAAAAATTCAACCATGATTGATAAAAATATTTAATTAAATTTCCATATTTTGAATCTTCTTGATCTGGTGATGTAGTACTATCACCAAATGATGGGTAAGGAAAAAATTCAAAAGAATTTTCATCTCGATCACGTGCATGGGCTTCTACTTCCTCTTGAGCTAATTGTTCAAATATATTTCCGTAAACTGTATAAAATCCCTAATCATAAAATATCGTTGAATGTATATTTATATTTAATCATAATAAAATATCGTTGAATGTATATTTATATTTTTTTTAATAATAACAATAATAATAATAATAATAATAATAATAATAAGACATACCTTTGGGCTATCATCAAAACCACTAAAACATCCGATGTTAAAGTATTTCATGAGATCTTCTACACTAATTCCTGCCACACTTGGTTGTCTGACTTTAATCTTGGAATTACCATAATAATCATCACCTTCATCCTGATCAATATCATCATCTATAAAGAAAAAAAAACCAAACGATATTAATCGAACTGAAACAAATTAAATCGAGTTGAATAGTTTATTTATATAACACATACCTTCTCTTAAAATAGCATCTCGGTGATTATCATACCTGCAAAAGCAATAATGTATACAATAAAAAAAAACAAAAAAACAAAAGACTAAAAAGATCCGAATTTAATTATTCTTCGTACCATTCCCTTTCGTTTGGATCCGATAAAACTTCGTAAGCTTGTTGAAGGAGAGCGAATTGTTTTGTCGCCTCCGCAACTCGATGGTGATTTTTATCAGGATGCCATTCTAAAGCTTTTTTACGATAGGCTTTCTTTAATTCTTCTGCGGTCACGTATTGTTCAACGCCTAATAATTCGTAATAACAAGTTCGCATTTTTTATTTTTTTATAAATCAAAAACTTAAACTTTTATTATTTTTAGCTAATAATCACACGGTATGATTGTCCAATTGAAATTGGGCATACGTCCAAATAAAAAAAAAAAAATTAAAACCAATTGGACATTTCCCTGATTGTCACTATCACAGTTTCACAGTTTACAGGTACATACGTTCACCATTTATTAAGACAAGTTATCATTCATTAATAAAATATAGACAGATTTATTAATTTCCAGAAATTTTCTTTGCTCACTCTCTAACAAGAAATTTTCAAAATTATATAAACAAATTTAAAAGGGTAAAAGATACAATAATATAAGATTGTAAATTTGAGTTGGTCATCATTTTTAAGAAGAAATAATTGAACTTTGTCGCCTTTGCTATACAACTAACTATCTTATGCGAAAAGTTCAACAATAATGACCCAAAGAATAAATTATAAGATGAAAAAAATAATATAAATGCGAGAAAAAAAAATAATTTTTTGCAGATATATAAAAATAATAAAATAACATATGTACTAAAGAACCAAAAGTATAATGCGGAAGTTTGTGTACAAAATTTTTTTTCCTTTTTTGAAAAAAAAAACTCTACGATATATAAAAAAAAAAAAAATGCGCAAATTAACAAAAATATGTGCAAAAGAAAAGTTTAACAAAATATGTACAGATATGAGAGTGAGAACTATATATGAATCAAGAGATCGAATTGATTTACACACGACTAAATTTGCTACCAGGTTTTAACCCAGCGCTTCCAACAGATAAGGATCTACGTCTACCACCTTCAGATATACGCAATAAAATGGCAGCTTTAGAAGCTTTTGAAAGAGGAGGTTGAACGGAATCATCAAGGGAACCACCACCGACTTGGACATTAGAAACAGTGTCACACAATCTTTTTTGAATATTAGCGGCTTGATGAAGAGCAGGACGGGAAGGATATGGTTGAGCTTGATGATGATGATGACGTTTACTTGGAGAGAAATGAGAGTCCATGGGTAACGGATTATGAGCACGAGTAATTGGAGAAGAGCCAAAAATCAAATGAAAGTTATCAACAGGCAATCGCATTGGACGAGATTCAGGTCTCTGCTTTGTTTGACCAATCTCAATCGCACCAGAATAAGGAGTGAGGTCATGATCATTTTTATTAGCAAGGTCTTTGTCGTCTTGATCAGCTTTTACAATAAGAGACGTAGAGTTAACATGATGAACATTGTCCGGAGAAGAAGATTGAGAAACAGGGCTGCTAGAGCTGCCACTTGAATTACCCATTATTTCTAAAAGTTCAGCACAAGCAAGGGCATCATCAGACCTATTTTTTATGATAAATTAATGAAATTAAATAGGTGATAAAGAATAAATCAAATATAAATAAGGATAAATAAATAAATATATATATATATATATATATATACATATATAAAACATACATGGCTTCAAGAAGGTCAACAGAATTATCAAAAATTAAATGATCTTCTTCCATGTCTTCCTGAACAGCAGATAGGCCCCAAGGGTTTTCAGAATGCGGAGCAAAACTATTATTGGACAAGTGACCTGCGTATGCATACAAAGCTTTCTTTGGACAAGGAGCAACTATACTTGGTAGATCGCACATCTTGTCATTATAGGTAGATGAAGACGGCGGAGTGGTCGTACAGAATCGAGAGATAACCTCAGAAGTCTTTTTTTCTGGTGAAGCAGAAGACGACCGTGGGGGGATATTAAAGTTTTCTGTACAAGCACGGTCTAATGGATGAATGACATGAGATTGGGTACAAATTAAAGTCATTGTAGTTTGTCAGATGCAAATTGCCAACAAGGTCTATTTTAGTTTAAAAGATTTTGGGGTTTTGTTCTCCAGAACTTTTTAGTTACAATATTAATACAAAGAAAAAAGAAAGAAAATTTAAAGACGAAATATATATATATATTATATATATATTATTATTATATATAAAGAAAAAAAAAATATTGAAAAGGGTAAAGGACTGAAATACTTTTTGAGTCTATATATATATAAATATATTTATATTATATTATTATGATGTAACGACCAGTTGACAAAGCTAGACAATAAGCGGTGACTACCTAATATAAGAGTGAAGGTTTCGTCCAAGCGATTTTTTTTTTCTACAAAAGATGAATATTTTTAGCAAAAAATAGCGAATGTGGAGAACAAAAAAGGTTAAAGAGGGAGATTGAGTTTTTTTCACCACTGGTGAAATTTAAAAAGGGACGGATCAATCAGAGCTTGAGATTATATTAGTAAATATGTTAGTAATTCATATGACGTAACTCTGACTCAAATTTACAGGTTTAAATTGTTTAAATTTGCTACGCCAAAGACTACCTAAGAACAGAAATTTGGTATTTTACACCGGACCCCAGCAATTGGGGTTGTAATAAAAGAGGGATCTGGCAGGTGAAAATTTAAACAAAAGTGTGGCTACATTATCTTTTCGTTTATCAATTCCAATTTAAACAAAGCAATCTAACGCCACAAAGAAATTTCAGGGTTCAAATTTTTATTTGCCCAATTTCCTTTTACTTTTTTTTTATTTAAATTTCTAAATAAATTTCCAATCATCCATTTATCGATCATTATTATCATTATTTTTATAATATCAATTATTTTGATTTTCACTAAATTTTCCTTATTACTCTTGCTGTTGTGTCCATTATTCTATTCGGCCATATTACGCACGAAATACTTGTTTAATTTGTTTTCGGCCTTTTTTCTTAATCAATTGTAATCTTGTTTTTTCCTTAAATATAGGATCAAATGTCCGGGACTACTCTGCGGATTATGCGGAAAATGTAATAATTATGTATATATTTATGTATTTGAAGAACCTATACACAATGATCTTTGCCCAAAGTGGATTAAGTGGATTGTTCTTTCATCAGTTTCTTTCCTCTCGCAGTTTCTGTTCACCAAACAAGAATCTCAGAAGATTCTATTTAGCATATAATACTACGTACATGTACAGTTGATAATAACCTATAGAAAATTATGCTAAGTTTTTTTTAATGTTAAGAAAATTCTAATTTCATTCATTTTTATGTATATATATATATATATAATATATATAATGCTAATCTTTTCCAAAACCCTCTGTTCGTTAGATCGGATCCCAATTCGGCTGAGCTGGTATTAATTAAATAAATAATAATATTTTGTCTCATGATCACTCAAAATTCACCAATGAAGTCATAGACAACTTATTAAGTAAAGGATATTTGCCCCGGAATTTTGGGGATCGCCCTGTAAATTGTACGTATAACATCCGGTTATTCAAATTAAGATCCGAATCTACACTTTTTGAACGCGGTTCTTGGGAAGGTTTATATTTTCGCATGAAATTACATATGAAAACCTGCATGGTACAACTTTTATGGAATTACTGTGAAACAAAATTTACTATTATTTAGAGCAAATCTATTTGTAGCCTGCAGAATTTGTCTTGTTCTAACCCTATCGTTAATAAATCTTGGTGCACCGCTCCGATATTTTTTGCTCATTGCGGGATAAAATGCACTCTTGTATCACTAATTCATTTGATAACCATGTAATACAGTTTAGTTCAGGTTTTTTACTTTCGTATCAAATACAAAGAAAATATTAATTTTTTTATAAAAACTTAACGGATTTTTGTTTTAATTAAAAATTGCTACGTAAATCATTTTTATACGTAGTGCTGTAGTGCTGTAGTGGCAATCACGTGTGATGTTTTAATTTCTCTTCAACCAATAAAAATTTTTAGAAAACATTGTAATCAATTAGCTAATTAGATATACTGTAGTACATGGTATTTTTAGCAAACCGACAATATGTACGTACTGTTTTGATTGGTTATCTACTTAAATCAATAAAGTGTTGTTACGCGAAAGTTTATAAGATTGTTACGTATACATAGTTTAAATAGTTATCAGCCTGATACATAACTGGTTTATTTGATCAAGGATTTAAAATCCGACTAAGAAATTGAATTTCTTCGGAATTCAACTTTTTAGACCAATTTTAAATCTTTTGACCAAATAATTAAGTCATAAAGCATCGGCATGACTGATAACGGATTCATCCGATAACTTACGACGATAGTCTGCCCAATAACAATTTTACTATTTGGCAACGGTGTGTGCTTCTGCCGAATAATAATTTTATTTGGCGGACGAATTATATTAAGCTGCTGAAGAATTAAAGTTATTTAATACGTACGTACGTACGTACAGTATATATTGTATATTTTAAATTACATAAGTGGCTTACCAACTTTTATTGAAAATTTTAATACAATATATATAATAAAATTTAAGCTAGTAAAATTTGTTACGTATATAAATTATTAATTAGCAAATATGTTATACAGAATTGATTAACAATAATTAAAAAAATTTTTTTATTAATAATACAGGTGACCCTCGCTAATATCAACCTTTTTGGATTGGGTAATTACGTTGATATTTACGAGAGTTGATAACAAAGAAAAAATTATTTATTCTATCTGAACTCAATTTCTACTAAGTAACCTGTCTTTTTGTTTCTAATAAAAGTTGTAGAGAACATTCTTACAATTCTAATGATAGTAAGATTATAAAATTTGGTTTAGTGGGTCACGAGTTATGCGTATTTTACCTTTTATGGGGGACGTCTAAAGCGGAACCCCTGTAGCTCACCCACAGAAAATTTTCCGGCACGTGAATTTAGCCAATTAGATAAAAGGATCAGGTGTAACGTCTTTTTAAAAGATAATTAATAAAAATTCCTTGTGAAATTTTGGTATAAGCTATGTCCTTCCCGGCCTTATTCCTAACCTTAAAGATGAAGCTTATTACTTTAAAATCTTTTGCTTAATTGATTTTATGTTACACCTGATCCTTCGATCTAATTGGCTAAAAATCACGTTCCGGAAAATTTTTTGGACTCTTAATCCAAATAGGGTTGAAGGCACGAGGCATGAGGCATGAGGCATGCCTTTAGGTTAAAAGCATGCCTTTGTTACATGATAATCAATATTAAATCACGTGGTAATATACTACGCTGATTGGCTATTGACAAAACGTTGGGCTAAATAAACTGACAAGTGTGCACAAACTTTAGATCACATTGATATCAATATATAAATTCAAAATATCAATTAGTAAGTAGATATCTTCATGATTTTATTTAATATTTCATTTTGTATTATTATTATACATTGTTATATTAGTAGATTTTATTAGTATATTTTAGAAGATTTTATTAATATATTTTATTAGTATAATTTATATTTATTATATGTATTTTTTAGTTTTAGTTTAATAGTAAAATTTTCAACAAATAGTATTAATTTTAGTATAATATTAGATATATTAACTGGTATATTAATTGGTTATACTGTATTAACTGGTATGTTAATAGGTATGTTAACTAATATGTTAACAAATATATTAACTGATACATTATCTGATATATTAATTGGGTTGTTAAATAGGTTATTAAATAGATTGTTAAATGAATCATTAATTGGATTGTTAAATAGATCGTTAACTAGGTTATTAACTGGGTCGTTAACTGGATTCTTAATTAGGTCATTAACTAGGTTGTTAACTAATAGTCCAAAAGATATAAAAACTTTGTTTTTTTTTCCAAGGCAGGGCAGACTGTCTCCTCCTCATTTTTAATTCCTTGTTATTTATAGTTTATTTTCTTGGAAGTGTAGCCATAGTTTACCTTCTTTTTATTGTATTTAATAAAGTTTTTATTATGTTTTTATTGTGTATTTAAAGTTAAGCCATCGCCTTTTTTTTCTTTTTTGAGTATTTATTTTTAGTATATTGAATTAAGCTATCACCTCTTTTCACTTTTCTTAAGTATTCTATTGTGTTTTAAAATTAAAGCTATTGTCTCTTTTTTTTATTTTTAGTTTATTGTTTACTTTAAGTCTCTTTTAGTTTTTTTTTTATTTTATTCTTTTTTTGTTTACAAACATATTTCTTAACTCTCTTATATATTAAGTCAAATAGTATAGCTTTATTAAGACCCTGTATTGCTATATTACAATGGCATATATTGATATACAGCATACAGTGACATATAGCATACACTAGTATATGATATACAGTGGCATATGATATACAGATACGTATTATTTCACCAACAATTACTTTACCAACATCTTAGTATATTGACAATTAATTCACTAACAAGTTTATTTCACCAACAATTAATTCACTGACAAGTTCATTTTATTACCAAGTTTTTTTTATAAACTATACTAACCTTAATTCTAATTCTAGTCTAACCTTAATAACAATGGCCAGAATTACTTTGTCTATAAAATAAGCTGTTAGCAGATTAATTGTCAGTGAAATGAACTTATTGGCAAATTAATTGTCAATGAACTAAGTTGTTAGTGAAGTAATTATCAGTAAAATGAGTATCATACTAACATATTGTAATATATAGTATACACTAGTATATAGTATATAGTAGTATAAATTTCTAATATAAAATATAAAAGATAAAATACAAAATATAATATATAATATAAAATAATATTTTATGATTAATTTGTATAACATTACAACTATTAGTATAACGGCTTCCTCCATCTTTAGAAATTTGCTTTGCAAATTTAATTTCTGTTTCTAAGTGCTTAGACATAAGTTACCAAGTTTTAGAACTTCAAAGCATCTATTTTGTCTAAGATTTAAAGAGAAAATTTCTTGGTTTAATAAATCTATTCATAATCTATATAATGAAATAGAATATAAACTCAAGTCCAAGTTTTCTTCTAATTATAAGAA